TTAGTCCAAACCCAAAATATGATTACTATTTTTATTTTTCAGCCAAGCCCAATTTAATCAAATTGACCTAAATTTTATTCAGATCTTTTATTCTACCGTAGAGTCATTTCTACCGTTCTATTATTATGAACTAGCCATCTTTCTCTTCCCGTAATTTTAACAATCAAATCTATAAAGAACTCAACAAAGAGATGTGCAAAAAATATCACGAAATTGGACTACGTTAATTTGTAAGAGGTAAGATTAAATAATGTAACGTTGTTGTAATATAAATAAAATTTAATTATTGTACGGAATCTATGAACTGAATAGAACTGAACCGAATAGAACTGAATGGAACCGAACTCAAACAGTTCCCTAATTAAATTTAGACAGACGGTTCCATTTACTAAATACCTAAAAATTTCAGGTTTGATTCGATTCTAAAGAGAATCAAATTGAACCGGACAATACCCACCCCTAGGCTCAATGTCGTTTGATGGGATTTTTACTCGGATCTTTTCCAACCAACAACAAAATATTAATTTTCTCCTATAAAGTTCATTGTTGTTAGAGGTGAAATTTTGGTACAGGAAAAGTGAAATTTGTTAACAAAACTTGACATGAGACGATGAGACAACTCTTAAAGACTTAATATTCTATGAATAAGGATGATTGAACATGCTCAAAAATAGAAAAATAATAGATAGATTGACTCGGCATCACCTGTTTGGGTTTTTTTTTTCAAACTGTCCAATCATGTATCGACACACGTCCCCATTTCTTTTTGTCCCTGTTTTTGAACCTATTTGTATAGCATGATGGATATTCTATTCTAAAAGATTAGCTTAGTTAAGAGAAACGACCTGAACAGATCTACGTTCTATATTTATTCCATCTTTATTCGATTACGTCTCCTAATTGTTAACAACATGGATGGCCGGGTCGGTGTAACGTATCGATGTGTGTGTGTGTTGGGTAGTGCAAGGATAGATTGGCATGTCATGGAAACGTAGTGATCAAAAACAGCGGTGGAATGCATGCATGCATGCATTAATCAGAGGACAAAATAGAATCAATAGATTGATACGTCGATACTATTATATATTCCTTTCGTTGGAATTCTTTTTGGAGTTTTATAGGAATTTTGTCTTGTCTTATTATTTTCTGCTAAAACACAATGGTCCATATGCAAAATTATTCCCTAAAATCTCTGTTATCTTCATTTAGGGTTTGTTTTTTGTATTGATTTTGGGTCCACTATTTTTCTTGTATATATGTTATGTAGCTTTTGAAGCTGCAAGTAGACTGATTCAAAAGGACATTAGTAGACTATGCCATTTGGAAGAGAGACATTGTCACCTTCTTCCCAACATTTCATCTAATTAGACTTATTTTTTCCCGTCTAAATTATACTGTCTTGACGACTTTTACATAAACTTAATTGGCAATGTATATTGAACGATTGAGGATAGTCGTGTACGATTTATTTTGCCAAAATAGGCATGTGATGATTTTCCTACTCGTTCAAGTTTGGGTCAAATGTTTCAATAGAAACCCAAGTATATTTTATACACTTGCGTGTTTGACGTTGTCAAATATGAAAAAAAAACGAATATATAAAACAATAGTCGAATCTGAATTTAAGGAAAGTTAAGACTGAATTATTAAGTGGTTGGACTCCATCTTGGCCTAATGTTGTGCCGGATTTTGTTAGTACATATCCGGTCTTTGTTGGGCTAGGATTGGGCCGATGAGCTACTAAAAAAGAGGAAATTATACCTAACCATGTTTTTAAAATTTACACTTCATTAACCAGATTTTAAGTTTAATTTTTTCATAAATCAGGTTATAATTAAAATAAT